CAGGTACTTTCTTTAGTTCATGCACTGCACATGCGATTCTCGAGGTTACTGGAAACCAAAAGTTGCGGGAAACTTGCTTTGCCGTTCTAAAAAGACAATCAAATTGGAGCTGCAAAAATTGGCTCTATGCCAGCTGCCCGAATGACACTCACGTGATACACAATTCGCCAAAAAAGTGATCTCTTCCGACGTCGGCGCAAAACTCGCCTTTTTTGGCAGGATTTTTGTATGAAATTCCCTGACTTTTCCCTGAATTTTTTGGTCAATTTCCGAATTCTCTGACTTTTTCCGGTTTTCCAGGTAGCATGGCAACCCTGTAGATATTAAAACAAATTCCAAATTTGGGCTTCCAGATGGCCCCATTCGAGTGGAGGACTACGTTATTCAAAATTTGATGTCTCTAGGTACCATTGTTTCTTCACAGTGCCAGAAATGTACATACATTGATGCAGATTCTTCATTATTTAATTTCTTTAAATATTAATATTTGGTAGCAACAATTCGAAAAGTGAACAGTCATTAATGAAACAATGCAAAATGCCAAAATGAAATGAATACCCCTTCTGTGCAAATTGCACGTTTGGGCTAATAATGCTGATCAATATTTTCCCCAATAATCGACATAAAATGCTTGCCACTTATTTCTTAACATCAGAAATCCTTTTCTAAATTCATATTTTATTTTTAATTGCATACAAATAGAAACATTTTGCTCTTCAGTTTATGTATGGACCCTGAATATGATCTCCAAATTTAATACTAAATATCTCACTCAATTTTTTTTCATACGGAAGTCGAGTTTTATTTTAAAAAAAAAAGATTCTTAATGTAAGTATACGGGCTGGAAAAACATATAAAAGGTTCAATTCAGTAATTTTTGGAAAACTGATTTCTTTAATTTTATAAATGGCAAATCATTAATAGTTGAGTCATTTAAAACATTTCTGTTATTGAAAGTACATGCCTATGACCATCGGTTGCAAAAATACAAGCTGGGTGAAGACTTGGTGGCTATGGTGCATACAAGGTCAAGTATGCATAGGGCAATATGTTATGCTAACAGAAGATATGTTGCACATGATCTGTCAGTTTTAAAACTGTTCTTGACATTAAATGCAGATAGATATAAACCAATATCAAAATATACGTTTTTAAACTCAAAGGTTAGCACAAAATTGATGACATGTCCTTACCTCCTTATCTGCAGATGCCGACTTGAGTTCTTTCTAGTATGTTTCAGGAGAAACAGATATTCTCTTTTTAAGCTTTTAGTGATAGCAAACAAAATTTAGAATACTACAAACATGGGCCTGAGGTGGCAGTTAGTTACTCAAAATATATCAAGATATGATGATGGGCATGAATATACTCATACAAAGTATCATGAATATATCAGTGGCTTAATCATCCTACAAGCAAACAAAAAATAAACTAATTTGCACTTCATTTAATAACAATTTTCATTTACCATAATTTACGTTAACTGCATTTTACGGGCTTTTATATAAAACATTTTAAACTCATTTCTAATTGTTTAATGAACAACAGCTATAGAACAGTTAAATAAATTCAGCTGTACCATTTTTATTACTATATACAAGAAAAATTATTACTCAAATATTAAAAAATCGGTCTTACCACTTAATATCTACAGCTCAAGTTTATTTTAAAATCATAAAATTTTGAAAACATATTAATGATGCTTGTAATTTTCTTAAAATGATTATAATTTAAGACACTGAATTATCAAGTTGTCTAGCCTATTAAATATCCTAAGAAAGAATGACAAGTAAGGAAAGGGAGTGTCTTACCTAGTCTAAACTGCACATATACATTACATAACATTTTAAAAAGCAAACGAGACTGATAAGACATTAAATGGAGAATGGGCATATATATAACCAGGAATAATTTTACAAATATGTACATGAAAATTTTGTGTTTTAATAAAAAACTTCATATTTATAAATCAGCAGCTGAAAGAGACTAGCTTATCTAGCAGGCCTCTTCGGACGGCTTTTATAAGATTATAGGATAAGTGAGCACCAAATGAATATTGTCAAGAAATTCTCATCACATACATTTGAATTTATATCAGGCATATGCTTGTACATGCATATATCTAATGACTAAGTATTATGAATCACCAGAATGCGTATAAATATATTACAAATTAATATTTGATCAAACTTAAAAATTTACACATCTTGGAATGAAAATTTGAATTTTTTGATGGCACAGTTAAGTGCTTCAGTAATCCAAGATTAAACCAGTAGTTTTAAATACAAATACATCATATAGCAATAATCAAACCTATTACTTAACAGTGTGTATGTATGCATAATTCACATATATTTATTAAGTGGCTGTAATTTAATGCATTCAAAATACAGACAATTACTGATAATATTAGGATAGTTAAAATTAGCATATTAATAATGAAAATATTTCTCAAATTGTTTTTATAGATGTGTTTGATAACACATTTTAAGCAGTTGCAGCTTTGAATGAATTCCTCAGTTTGAAATAACTGCACTTAAGCTGCTGCTTTTCAGATGAATTTTATTACTAATTTATAACTTACCATTAATCTCCTGAAACTAAACCAAAGTTAAATCGTTTGCATCCTCATACAACTGAAAAATCATTCATAGTAGCTATTAGGGAACAGATAATTTCATCAAAGACAGACAGTTTTAGTGTTTACTAAATCATTTACATCCTTATATAACCGAAGGAACATTTATAGTAGCTATTAGATAACACATAATTTCATCAAACACAAACAGTTTTAGTGTTTACTTCTTTGGCTTCTAATTAAAAACAACTTACGCTATCGCAAGCATATATACTTTGTTATAAAATGGTACATGTAAAAAAATTTGAATTACAGCTCCTTCTAGTGGAAAATGAATAAGAAATATAGATTTGCACATACATAAAATATAATTTAGTACTTTTTAGTAATACTTCAGCACTTAGAATTCCTAGTGAACGGAAAGTACTGAAGACTCCTCATTAATAACAAAAGCATTTAGCTAATGATCAAACTGCATATTTTATGATACATCCTTGTTATAGTTTGATGTTAAAACATCCATATCTTAATCTTTCCATTTTTTGTTATCATTATGTGATGAAGGCATTTATGCTCAACATTGGCTTCACAAATTATCAGTTCTTATCTCTTATGTTTCACCCATTCAATGCTCAAGATCTTTATTTTTAAGTTAAAACAATATATTGCTGAACTGATCAAATGCATACTCTTCAAAATTTATAAATTTACTTTTTAATTATACCTCTAACTGATGAAATTTATAATACAATTAATTCAGATAATTTATACCATATCTAACTGATAATTCTTTTAAACATTTGCAACATCATAAGAAGAAACAAAAGATGTTTTTTTAATGGCATATGTTATATACCTTGATATAGAATAACTATTTGAGAACCACCTAACAATGAATTTTATTCCAAGCACTCAATGTACACGTATATGATTATTAGTATGGTATTTTACCAATAGACGACAAACACAGAAGCTGATTTAAGATAAAATTTTCTCTACTTTTCTTAACTTTTGATTAAACAAACAAACAAACAAACAAACAAAAACAAAAAAAAAAAAAAAAAAAAAAAAAAAAAAAAAAAAGGTGCAAGTATTTTTCAAGTTAATTTTACATTCTTTATTCTATTCTATTTTTAAAAAATACATGAGTAGTTAATATCATCTGTTGCCATGGTTACATTCTATTTCTCATGTTTTCATTATTACAAATGCTTAGAGAGGTCACATGCCATCTGGCAGCAAATGGTGGAAATTGCCAACATATGTAATTTTCCTTATGGGAAAGCTGCAAAGACTGCTCATTCAAAACTGTATTTCTGTTGGTCTATTTTTTAATATATGCAGGAAACAATATTCACCTCCATTTAAATGGCAAGAATTTCATGTCTGCTAGCAAGATAAGGTATAAGCCTGTATCATGAAGGGAGAATTCGCTACAGTTAAACTGTGAAAAACTGTGATCAAATACTTTTTATAATCATTTTCCTAATTAAAAAAGTTCATGGATTCCTCATCCACCTCCTTGTCAATTTAAACTCACACACAATGGTTATGAATCAAATTTGCTCCTCAGCATTTAAAAGGCAAGAACTGACTCTGCAATACTTGCTGCAAATTTATCAATTAAATCTTCAAATTAACAGAATTTTGTTTTCAACATTGATATATAGATATATATAAAACTCCTTGATTTATTCAGATTAGGTTTGGTTACATAACTTGAATATGGCAAAACTCACAAAGCTACCTACCTATGGGAATGGATGAATTTGCGGAGAATTTCCTAAGGGAAACATGTTCCTATTCAGATTACACTTAGGAAAAGTCACAAAAAAACAACTATGCAGCCAGCCCATTTATCTGAGATCAAATTCAGTGTAAACTCCCAGTATTCAATGGTCTTAACCTCTTTGCCACTGGTGCAGTCTTTATTCAGATAAAAAAAGTTTGAATCATTCGTAACTGCCAGCGTATAATATTAGCACACTGTCGCATGGTATTTTTATTCACCATGTAATAAAGTGGCACTTTTATTATAAATGCATCGCAATGAAGTTTTGAATTTAAAATAAATTTTACAAAATGCATTTGAAAAATATAAAATACATACTTTAAGATTTTAATAATTTAAAAATTTGAAGTACAGCCTTAGAAAAATGCAACTAAGTTATATATGCATATATAAATACATGTTCATATACATACATACACACACATGGACACACATACTTTCCAGTCTGAATTAAATGCACAGCTATGAATATTAAATTTGCCCACAAATGGCAAGCTATCTGAATTCATACAGTTAATTCAACTGATTAAGTGTTTCTCCTCATTACTTGCTTTAATACCAAGCAAATAAACAGCCAAGTTGCAGTCACATACGCATATGATCTACAATTGATGTGTTAGGCACCCAATGTTACGAACAATATAATTTATTAGTTAGAAGATAAACTAAAAACGTCTATATAAATTTTATATCTTTAAATCCTCTTGAGCACCAAGATTTGCTAGTGTCTTCTTTATACGTAATGCAGTTAAACGAGCTGCAGAATTATGGTACCAACATTCCTTCATTACCTTAGAGATCACTCTCAGTGCCTAAGAAAATAAAATAAGAAATACTATGAAGAGCTGAATTATACTGTTTCAACAACTAATACATTTCTTCCTAACATAAGTAAGGTCAAAATAACAAATGCAATACATACAGCATCTTAGAATGTTAATATCTTCTCAGTTATTCTCTATTTGCAATATCACCAAAACGAAACTCTGCCATAGAAGTTTAGTTGGCATAGACTACTAGAGACAATTTCATATATATAAAGCAAAAATTATACAAAAGCTTTGAATGATTTTTGGGAATTCACAAGGACTTTCTTTGGCTGTTGGGGGAAAAGAAACACATCCTGACCCAGTTTTCATGTAGTTAGTACAATGGCCATAGGTCGAATGTCAAATTTATTCCAAAGCTATTTTGAAAACATGAATACAGATGTATGTCAAAATAAAAGGATGCAATTATTCATGAAGTTTTATATTTTATGAAAATATTTTCAAATGTTCTTATATTCATTGTAAAAAATGACATTTGAAAAAGTGCTTTCCTTGATAAGAAGAGAATCTTTTTATTAACCCATTAACTGCCAAAACTACAAGGAATGTTTCTTTTCTCATGAAAATAATAACTAATATTAAATTAAGCATTTATAACACAAATTTGCACTGAAAATTAAAAAAAAAAAAAAAAAAAAAGCTCTTACCTGTGAAAACGTGAGTGTTGCGTTCGCGCAACGTCAGAGGAATAAGATGTACGGATGTTGAGTGAGTAGGATTGTACTTGTGTGATGTTTCTTTTGAGTGGAGCGCAGGATTACTTTTTAGCTGTATAACGTTTTATAAATCTACAAATCACTTTACTTGTAATTAATTTAATATTAAAATATACATTGTATTTCTTTTACAAATACAGATTATTTCAATTGAAAGATTCAAGCATGAAAAGCTTGATTACAATCATGATGTAAATCTACATTATATACTTTGCATCTATAAACAGTCTGGTTATGGTACTCTTTACAACAAAGTCTTTTGTTATCAACGGACTTTACGATAAAATGTCTACCATCTCCACGCAATGGTTTTTGAATGCTGAATTTACTAGGTCTTCCTGTTGCTGATCTATTTCTGGCTAATTCTACACTCTCAATAGGAGTTTGCAAAAGGAATAATGCATTCTTGCGTCTGAAATCTAAAAGAGACTTTATATTTCCAGTAGTAAAAAGTGGTGATATTTAGTAAGTTAAGATATGGTCTCACCCCATATAATTTATCAGTATTGTCAATTTGACTACTGCCAAATGCAAATTCTGCTTCATATTCCTGTACTGCAAACGTGATATCAATTCTCGTACAACAGGAACAGAAATGCCCTTATCAAAAGACCAATACAATTTTTCTTGAGGTAAAGAATGATATCCTGTAAACAATAATATTGCAATAAATCTTCTTATATAGGCTTTAGATGCAATAAATTCTGGGCTTTTTTTTTTCTTTGCTGAGCGTATATATTTGTCTGTTCAACGAGAAGAGAGTAAATGTCTAAACCAAAAAGAAAATCGAAAATATGTGCACTAGTTTTACCTTGTGTTTTGCCTTTTATAATTTCTCTTCTATCTCCTTCTTCATGCGCTTTCTGAGACATAACTAACAGTTCCTTTTTTATCCACTTCAAGATTTCAGTCTTCTGCTTTTTAAACATTTTAGTATGACTGTAACTGCTTTTACAAGGCTGAAACTTACTTCTTACGTGAATTTGAACTTTCCCCAGCAGTATCATTTGGTAAAATGACATTATCATTATTTAAAACATTGCCATTCCTTTCTTCTTCGTCACTAGCCTCTGCAATTTCTGGAGGAACAACAGCAATATCAGTTTCATTCTGGTCATTATTAACATTATCATAATCTGTTTTTTCATCAAAAAATCTTTGAAGGGCTTCTTCTAATATAAGATACCTAATTCTAGGCATTTTTAAACAACCAGAACATCGAAAGGAATGAGTGAAAAAGGAGATTGACTACCCGTTTCCTGCTGACGTTGCATCAACGCAACACCTGTTTTCTTTTTCCTTCCCAACACAAATATAAACATCTGACTGATGTAATATTCTGATAAACGATGACCTTGACTAAAAATAGATCACTCATAAAGAATGCGATTCCTTCGTTAAATATTTTCAGCAAAAATACCCGGTCGAAAATTTTGCTTAAAGTATGGGATTAATTATTATAAACAAAATGATTGTTGAAGGCAAATATTTTTTTACAGAAATAATCTTCATAATATTCCCTACACAAAATCATCTGCTGGTATAAAATACCTTAGGTAGTTACATTTATATACACATTTATTTTGACCGTTGCGTCAACGCAACACCAGCGGCTAATGGGTTAAACCTATGATAACATTTAGTCATATGCATGTGTGATCAAATTATTCTTGCAATACAGACATCTTTTTTAATGCTACCTATGATTCATATAATTATCTCATTAGACATGAATCATACTTTTACCAAAACTCTACACTATTTTGCATTTAATTTTAAATAGTTAAAAGTAACTGAAATTTTAAAACATGTTATACTTACCTGAACTCCGCTGAAAACATTTTATTTGTTTTCAGACAATGAAGTTAAGTTCTGAGTGATGAAGATGATAACATGTGGAAAATAATAATAATAAAAAAAAAATGCAGACATCTATGATTCTTCTGATGAAGATGAAAATATTAAAGAAATGCAACACACAGAAAGCAAACTCCCTACCATCATGGATGCAAAAGCTGAGATTTGTGTCAGTTTTTATCTACATAAACTGTAGTAAAAGTAACAAAAGACTTTACTAACTGTAACAAAAGACTGTTGTAAAGAGTACCATAGCCAGACTGTTTATAGATGCAAAGTATATAATGTAGATTTACATCATGATTGTAATCAAGCTTTTCATGCTTGAATCTTTCAATTCAAATAATCTGTATTTGTAAAAGAAATACAATGTATATTTTAATATTAAATTAATTACAAGTGACGGTGACACAAGTGCCAAAAGTGACAGTGACAAAAATATGGATAAAATTTTCTTACAGTCTGCATAAAATTAATTTTTGTATACAGAATTCATAATTTATCAACATTTTATTATTCAGTGTTTCCATATTTTTATGAATAAAATAAATGAAAATGTGTATATCAGAGGGAGATGTGTTAATGGGATGGTTATGAACAGTAACTTTTGTGCAAAGCTATTTTTGGTGTAGAATTATGATGCTAATGAAAAAGAATGAGAAGCGAATAATTACCGCAAATAACAATTACGCCTACCCTTAATATGAATTTAAAAAAATTAAAGTTAATATTTACATTCTTGGTAGATATAACAATGTTAATCGATTCTTGTACAAACTTTCAGTCCCTTGTACTTCATTACAGCAGGATTCAAGTGTATTAAGAAGCTTTCTAGACTAAATACTGTTACGAAATGTCAAGGCACAGTGAGATGTCTTCCCCGCAAAGCAGTTTTAGGGTTGCCATAATATGGCGAAGGAAGGCAGGGTTGTCACATTTGGCGAGAAATCGCCCATTTGTCAACATACGATGGACGGATGGAGAACCTTCTGGAACTAATTCTTACCGGTTTAGCCCAGAATGATCTCTAACACATATAAACCCTGCTGGCCTGCAGTCAGAGAGTAAGTGCCCCATCGAGAGAGCGAGTGTGTGCACCTCGTCTAGAGTGCGAGTTAGTATCGAGTTGGTGTCTCTTTCTAGCAAGTAATCCCTGCGGAGTCGATTGAGTTGACAGCCGGGCAGTGAGTGCCGAATGTGTCGTCAAGTTCACTGAAGAAGTCTCTTAGTGTATCACGATTAGTGCATTGTCGAGAGAGGGTGATGAGCTCTGGGAACGACTGAACCGAAGAGTCAGGAGCTGTGCTCTGTGTGTCGTCGAGTGCTTTGCGAGCTGTAAAGTGGAGAGTCTAGAGAGTACGTGGAGTTCCGAGAACGACCGAGCAGAGTCAAGAGCTGTACTCTGGTGCTTTGCAGTGAAGCTGTCTCCACCGTGATAGCCTGATAACCTGAAGGCTGTGTCGCTGATCGTGTCAGCATGTTTATAGTAGTTCATCAACGACTGTAAAATGGGTTTTGGAGCTGTCCTGACAATACTGGCATATAAAGTGTGTTTCGATACTTCATCAAGTGTCGTCGTTACTCACTCCAAATCCACATGAACCCTGTACGAACGTGAAGGAAGAAAATAACGTAACAATTGGTGTCAGAAGAATAAAAAAAAGCAACAATACTATTAAAATTTTGTGCAGTTTTTCCCCCATATGAGGTGATGATATGAAGAATTTAGTACAAAAATGTTTTGACCCAAGCAACTGAATGGCTTGCTATGCCACATTGCAAACTTATCATTCAGTGACATACTAAGTTGATTTTGATATGAAACACTTGGCAAACAGATATTCCTTAATTCCATCCTTAAAACCATTATTTGCAACATGAATAATTTCTTTCAGCATTATGACAGAGAATGATTATATATTTATGAGTGTAAAAATGACTACCTTATTTAGCAAATATAGTTACAGATTTTATTATATTTTGTAACGAAGGAACAATGATTAGGAATTTTGGATAACACACTTTTATTGCTAAGCAATTATGGTTAATTATTCCACTTCCATTCCTTATTCTGAATAAAAGAGAAAATTATGTACGGCAATAAAGCCTTTCTTGTTTTGAAGGAATATTAGAAATTAATCTTTAGTAAGATGGGAGGGGATTCACACCCTACAGTTACAACTCCATGCTTAATTTTTTTAACCTTAAAATTTAATATTAATAATCTGTTGTTGAGTGGATGCTACCAGCATAAACAGTAGATTAAAATATATTAATCATGCATATTATATGCTGCATTCTTACAACACAGTAAGTTAGAAAAAGATTTTTCTTTTTTATAAGAACATGAAAATGCATTTATAATACTACAACAGATTTACCCATAAGTTTTGATCATTTGTTCAACAG